CAATCTACTGGCAATAGATCTAGATGTTTATTAACCAGTTATCACAGAAAAAAAATGGAAAAAGGTGATCTTGAGAAAAAAGGTGGAGAAAAGTTTGTTTTATGAGAGATCGTGAGTCCCAGTATACAGCTGGTAAATTAATGTATAACCACAAATTCATACAATCCTTTACAAAAAGAGATTTTAAAATTACCACATTTGAAACACAATAAACAAGTGATTTTCAGTACTTTAATACATATAATTAAATACTATAGTACAAGTAAGTTATAGATACTTCTCTTCAGCATTTGACTTGCTCCTTTTCTGACGGATCTGGATCTAAAGCCCAAAGTTATTAGCCCTGACAGTGTTGTAGCCATAACAGCAAGAGAAGAATCTAGAGACTTAAAAAGAAAGGCCAAAAGGTTTGTAAAAAAAAAATTAGCTGAAGAAAAGATCAGAATCCCACCTAAGGAATTAAACTGATACCTTCAGGATGTGTTACAGAAAAATGCCTTTGTTTCTAACTGTGTGGCACTGTCTTTGATTTGCAGATTAATTACTTCTCTTCCTGTAGCTGGAACTATGTATTTGCACACCCAGACTTGCTGGAAGTGAGAGTACTGAAAAATTACCTATGTGACATTTGCAGTAGGAAACTCATTTATTACATCAGGGTCCTGGAGATAAAACCTCGTATTCTGAGGTGATGAGTAATGTATTTTATTTAATTTAATCATCTTAAGGAAACAAATAACAAAAAAACATTAACTCTAGACATGAGAGACTGAAGGTAGTGGGGTGAAAAATACACAACGTAGACTGAAGAGAATTATGGGTAATGAATACAATGAAAGACAAAAGGAAAGTATAAAGTCTGAGTACATGGCATTACAAACATCACTTACAGAGCTTGAATTTTGACAAAGTGGACTGTAGAATATGCACATGGCTTTATTTATTTTTATTAAATTAATTTTTAGACAGTGATATTACTATAAAACAACTGGAATATGATTTTGAAAGTTGCAAGGGCTCAACATGATGCTAAACGTTTGAACTCCAACACAGTTTTTCTCCTTGATTATATTATTATTCTTTTAAAGGAAGAGGAAAGCTTCTTCTCTCGTAAAACAATCAATTATAGTACTCTAGACTATCTTGTTCTACATCATACTCTACTGGGATGAGCAGGGAATGTCCTAGTCAATCACATGTCACTTGAACCCTAGAGGAAATCTCTGTCTTTATGAATCAAAGGATTAGTGAAGCCAATAAGGACACCAAGAAACACAGATGTGAGGGGGAAAAAATGCAATTCTCAATAGACATAATACACTCTTGACTCAGAACTTGAATTCGAGCTTGCAGTCCTTTCAATGAATAACATATATTTGATGAGTCCATTGGATTGTCAGCTTTTTTACTAGCAAGCTTCTTTCATGGACATTTTTTCTTGTTTTGAAGAATCTATATGGCTAGATTATGATGAACAGGATAAGATAAAATGAATAAAGTCTCCAGTTAGATGTTCTAATTTGATTAATGCTTACATCACTCAATCAAACTCCAAGGAATTTTAAAGCTATTAAAGAAGACAAACAGGTTTCTCAGTAGTCCGAGATGCTAAAAGCAAGGTTTAAAAGTATGACATTTTCTGCCTATTTTTCTGATTATAAAGTCCCACTGAACCCTTAAACTTTAAGCTGACTTCTTTCTTCAAAAATATTTTTGTTTTTATTTAGATCACCTAGAATATAGATGTATATTTCTTCAGTCTTCCACCCCTTATTCATTTCTTAAATTTTTTCACATCCCAATTTGCAATGAATGCTTATATTTCATACACCTTCCAATTCAGAAGTTAACACATCTTTCTTTCTCTTAACTAGCTTTAAACATAAATCAACATTGATGCATTAGAGTAGCTAAGACTCCCTGGACAGAAATGCAAGCAAGGGTCCTTAGGCCCCCAGTGTGACATTGGAGGGCCAACCCTGTCCTAGGGGGCATCAGGCACAGCATCACCAGATGGGAAGAGAAGGGATTGGGGATTGGGGATTGGGGATTGGGGATTGGGGACTGGGGACTGGGGATTGTCCTGCTCTGCTCTGAGCTGGGGCAGCCTCACCTCGAGTGAGGGAGCAGGTTTGGGTGCCACAACAGAAGACATTAAACTATAAGAGTGTCCAAAGGAAGGCAACAAAGATGGTGATGGTGAAGGTGAAGGGCCTCGAGGGGAAGCCATATGAGGAGTGGCTGGGGTCACTTGGTCTGTTCAGCCTGGAGAAGTCTGAGGGGAGACCTCACTGCAGGCACAGTGAGAGTCTACAGAAGGCAGAGGGGCAGGCACTGATCTCCCTGTGTGAGAGGAGGCCAGCCTAGACAACCTAAACCTGCTCTGACACAGCTTCAGGCCATTGACAGGAACAAAGACAACGGCCTGAAGCTGCATCAGGGCAGGTTTAGGTTGGTGTTGGGGGTTGAGTTGTTCCCTTTTCTTTCTGTGGAATTTTTCCCATTGTTATGCGAAGTATTTGTGGCTACACCTTAGTAGCAATAGTTTTCTCTCGCAGGGGGGTGGGGGACAGGGGGACACCGGAAAAGGAAAGGTGGGACAGGGGCCTGGGCTCTGGCTCTCGTTCTCTCGCTCGCTGGTGGAGGGGAAGGAAGACGGCTGGGGCTCCTATCTATCCTCCTCCCCGCCATCCCAGTGCCGGGAGCCACGTTCCCTGCTGTCAGACATCGCTCTGCTGCCTTCCTACTCCATCCTACTGCCTCCGGACACTCTGCCGAGCACCACGACCGACACCGTGAGGGGAGAGCGGCTCCTCCATCCCTCTCAGCCCTGGGCGCTGCCGCCATCACCCAGCGCCTTCAGCTGCGCGGGGCCTGCCCTGCCCACAGCACCGGGAACTGAGCGCAGGGAGAGAGGGCCTTGGCCAAAAGGGACTGGAACTGAGCTACGCTGCTCTGGTCTGTTGTCAGTTTTTATAGCTGTTGTTGTTTCTGCTGTTTGCCTTGTTAGATATCAGTAAAGAACTGTTATTCCTATCCCCATATCTCCTGTCTGAAAGCCTCTGATTTCAAACTATTAGAAGGGAGGGGGTTGCACTCTCCATCTCAGAAAAGGGGTTCTCGCCTTTCCTTAGCAAATACCTGTCTTTCAAACCAAGACAGCTGGATATTAGAAGAAGGTTCTTCACCCAGAGGGTGGCTGGGCACTGGAGCAGGCTCCCCAAGGAAGTGGTAGCAGGACGAATCCTGTTGGAGCTCAAGGGGTATTTGAGCAATGCTCTCAGGCACATGTTGTGACTCTTGGGGATGGTGCTGTGCAGGCTTGGGATTTGGACATGAGGATCCTTGTGGGTGTCTTGCAACTCAGCTTATTCTGTGACTCTGTGATTAATAGTACCAGTAATACCTATAAGCCACATCCTCTTTCAGTAAGAGTTATTAATGATAAAGATCTATTGATATTATATTTGAATTTTACCCAAATAAATATTAGGTTTGGCTAAAAAAAGAAGCAAAATATCTTCTTTTTCCATGTTATTTAGCCTGTAGAACAGGCTAACCTTCTTGATTTTACTAGAAGCCATCTGTCTCATTATCATCTTTCCATCATCTGGCTTTCATTCTTTATCCAACATAATTATAACCAATTATTTATACCTTGTTATTTGAAAAGGAGATTCTGCTTTATTCCCACCAGTAATTCTCTCTCATACTCTCCCATACACACACAGCTATGTATATAAAGACATGAATAGGATGTGAAGAAGATTAGTGCTATGAGATGCACCCTGGATATTTTTAGGCTCCCCTATAGCCAACTCCTATGGAATACAGAGATAAGCTCCAGGAGAAATTATAGTCTTCTTTTGAAATCTGTAAGAAACAATAAGCTACTCATTAGAGAGTTCTAAAATATAACCACCATCAAAGTACACGGAGTGATTCAGAAACTAAAGACCAGGGAATGGACCAAGCTTCCACAATCAAGTACTGCCCCAAAAAGATCCACAGTTTCTCACTCACTAGAAAATCAGGCATCAAATTTTAGACACAAAACAACCATTTACTTCAGTAAAGGAGTGGGAGAGACAGAGCATCACAAGTATCAAACTGTTATTATTTGCTATTACATTTTAAAGGATTTCCCTCAAGGCTTCTTGTTTTTATTTTTAGTATTTCATTGTATACCCAAGTGCATAAGAATTTAGGCTGGCTTCGCAAAATGTTTCTCAGAGTTTCTTCTTTCTTTCTTGAGCATTTGAAATATAAGTGCAGCTAAAATTCTAAATTCCTTTGTCTACCATGCTCTGGCAGTGCCTTCTCAAGAGAAACAGGGGAAAATTGTCCAGGTATCAAGAGAGAAAGGAACTACAGTACTCCAGCTGGATATGAAGGCTGTGGCAATGTGTGACAGTGTTGGCAAAGGTGTGCAAAGTGTGTGAAACTTGACACTCTTCCATCAGAGTTAAGGAACAGGAAAGGACACTCTTAGAAATATAGGAATTGGATAGCATATCAGTAGTGCAGAAAGATAAATTCACAGTTAAAGGAAATAAAGTTCATTAGATAGGAAAATCAAATCTATAAAAGGAAGCAGGAAAAATGGGAAGGAGAAGTATCACAATATAAAAAATCATCAAAAGTGGGGAATCTGTACATCACAAAAAGAATTTCCATCAATTGAGTTTTACTCCTACAGAGACCATTAGAAGCTTTGATCCAGACAGATCAGAAATCATGCATTTTGGATGAGATCCTTGTAGTGTGTCATTATTTGCTAGATATGCAAATTGAGGAATCAAATTATATTATTTACAGATTCATCCTGCTTATCTTAATATTTGTTTTGGCACATTTGAAGTATACCAAAGGAATGAAAACTTGAGATTTCTTAAACAGCTTCCAACTTTATTCACAGGCAAATTAAATACTGGAAAAAAAAAGCTTCTATCTGAAAAACAAAATACCATGACTGATAAACTGGTAGTGTTAATTCATACCCTTTGGAGTTCAGCAGGAATATTAGTCTTTCTAAATGTGAAGTCCTCCTTCTGTTGCACCTTGGATAGAAAGAAAAAATATTCAGACAGAAGAAATTAGAGTTACTAATCCATCCATAACAACAGCAATGTGTTAAGTTGATTTTAGCATTTGTCAAAAGAATGAAAATAGGATGGCACCATTCTCCAAAGCTGATGATCTGAAAACTACTACTGGATTTCCCTGGCTGATCACCCAAGACATAAATACACTCTAAAAAATAATTTATCAAATATAAGTGGACCTTAAAGAACAGACTGCAATAACTTACACCAGAGACTGTAAAACAAATGCATGCTCAGGTTGCTGCGCTTTATGCATTACTAGAAGGATTAATGTACTACGGGATTTACATTAAACCAATGCCTTATAAGAACAAAACAGAGCAGAATATTCCCCATGTTTCTGTTGTCCACAGAGTAATTTTTGTGGCAAACTGATAATTATATACTAGTGATTTTCCCCCTTATCTTTGTCTGCTTTTAAAAAGTTACATGTTGCTTTATTTATATTAGTACTCAATTCTAATTGCTTATGTAGTGATGTCAGCTGATTGACCTGAGATGATATTTCTACTAATATGGAACCTACATTAAAAAATATTTAAAGCACTTTTGCTAATAGTGTCAACACTATGGCAAAAGAGTAAGAGCCTGAAGACTCCTGGCACATCACTATATCTGTAGATTTCTATATCCTGTAAGCAACTACAGCATGTTCTTAGGTAAATCATATTTTCACAGAAAGACTGTTCACAAATAAGAGCTTATTTTTGCTTAAGCTCTTGTCTGTGGTAATTAACTGTGAAAGCTTGCCACTTTTAAAAGCTCTGCTGACAAAATATGGAAGAGAGAGGCTCTAAACCTCCTCCTAGTCATTGTTGTCTATAGATTAAAATGTATATTTTCCTGTTTCCATCAGTCAAAGTGACAAGCAGTGAAAATAAAAGCAGACTTAACATTGCTAAGATGCCATTCCATAGTTGCTTATGCTCAGTTAATGTATTCCAGAAAGGAAGACTAAGATTAGAGAGAGATTTATATTTCTCTCCTGACTGCCCCTCAGGAGTGGGTATAGTAGACAAAAGATGATGAAATTCTATCAATTACAGGAAACTACATAAGCCAGCCTTACTCATACAAAAAAGGGTATTTTCAAGGAATTATAACTTTTCTTTCCAACATATGAACTGAGATGAACAGCTATAATAATACTCTGGACCTTGCTGAGATAGATTGTCTAACTTATTTGAATTTTATCTAGCACATAAATATTGATCATTTTAATATGTGATTCGATTACAATACCTTTTAATAACTGTATTTCTATATCCTGGATCATGCTGCACAATGTCTTATCTGTCGTATATAGCTATGAAATATTTCACAACCTTTCCTTCAGAATACTTCAGGTTAGATAGGCTTCTCAAAGCTTATCTCTGATCCATTTAACAAGGGGAATTGAGCTATTTTTTAGTAGATTTCTGAAAATTTCTACCAAATACTGTTTCCCACCAAGCCATAAGTTACTGGAAGACACATCAGTCAAGATGTGACAGCAGAACTGAAATGTAAATTTCTTTAACTAAACTGCTTCTTAAAGACCAACCTGTAGAGAAGCTGAAATATGAACAATGGAGCTTTTGTGTAAAACACAGAATTGTTCCTATTGATCATCCCCAGTGATTTAGAGCTGTTTATTTGGATTCACCTTGGTCATGTCCCAATATTCTCTTCCTTTTTTATGCTACATATTTTAATAAATGTTAGTAGTAACCTATGGGCAAGTTGCCCAGTAAACACAGCAGTGCCTTCACACAGATAAAAGATAAGCTTTTTAGTCCAAACTGGTTGAGTTAGCTGAGATGAAATAATATAAAAAGTAAATGAAAAGGGTATAGATGGATTTAATCTTCTATTAAAAGACTCCAGGAAACTGTTTCTGTCCCAGAATAAAATGAATTACTTGAACTGCAGGCTGAACTGAACCGTCAAAAAGGCCAGTTCACTCGTCCTTATCTAAAGAGACTTGTTTGCAAGCGTTTGAACCTCTGGTGAGCAGCCTGATGCAGTACTAATCAAAAGGTGCGTGGTTTCCTTAGATGTGAAAGATGGAGTTTTTGCTGAAACTGTCTGATATTCATTTCAGCCTCAAACTGCCAGTAATAGATTGCCACTAGCCAGTAAAAAGTTCACTATAAAGAATTATTTGTCCTTTCTGTCCTTGGTCACAGTTACTGTGTTATCTAAAGTAGGCAATTTTCTCATGTGTTCTTCAGAAGGTCATTCAAAACTCTCTTACTTGGCAAGATGATGGGGATCTAAAAATATTATGATCTCCAGGCATTTAGCTTTAGTTAAATTTCCCAGTGTTCAAAATAAGATGAAAGTCAACAAGAAAGGTTAAATTCAAACAATCCTGTGCTTATAATTTGCATTATATAACCAGAGCCCAATTTTGTAATTTTGTCAGGAGTTTGAACAGTCATCTTTAATAGAAGTACCAAGGATACAATGCATACAGTCCAATAAATTCCAATATATACATTCCTAGACCATACATGCCTTTTAGATATATATAATTCTGACTTAAATGCATACAGTTTGTACTTTCTAGCTTAATTTTTCAGTAACCAAAAAAGCAAACAGCCTGGGAAGTTGAGCATTCATATTTCTTATTTCATCTCTAAAAAGATGCTCTCATTATGAACAAATCCTACTGCTTCTGAAGCATACACAATAATCTTGGAAAATTACATATGGAAAAAGAATCCCAATAAACTTCCAGGAATATTTCTAGAAAAAGGCCTCAAGCTGTGCAAGGTTTTATGAAAGGTTTGGTGAGCTTTTTGGGTTTGGCATTTGGGTGTTTTTAGACCATGATTACAATATATGTATGGTACAAAAATTTCAACAGCTGTCACATTCATATTCATTAATGACTTCTTTTAAATAAATATTCCAAATTATCCCTTGATAAATCAGCTGATGTATTCCCCTATTTGCATAGAAATGGCTTACATCCAGCTTCCTTTTGAGCACACGTGATTGTTGAGAGCAACAGCTTCGTACACAAGTTTCAAGCTTATAATTTTACTACTTCTCATAAGGCCAGCATAAAAAAATACCCTAAATACCACAGAGAGCGGATTCTTACAAAAACTTGCTTCAGCTAACAAGGACTAAAAGAAAAGGAGAAGGAAGGATTTGCATTTTCCCAGATTCATCTGCTTTTCTTTTTTGGTTTTTGGGGTTCTTTTTTTGTTTGGTTGGTTAATTTTTTGGGGGTTTGTTTTGGTTTGGTTTTTTGGTTTTCTTGGATTTTTTGGTTATGAATGCTCTCCTGAAAGGAAGATTTTATAAAGATATAGTATTTTGGTTGCTTAGACTTGGTATGAAAAATATGAAGGAAGGAGAGAAAATATTTTAAAAAGCAATATTAGAAGTAAAAATTTTTTCAGGTGTAGCACATATAGCTGTTGCTCAGCTATCAACAACTATTATACACCTATCCTCTAATTTGGCCTCTTGGTCAGTCTTTAATTTTCAGGAAATAAGTGTCTGAAATTTTCATCTCTGACTGGAAATTTTAGGGTGTTATTGGTCTATAATTTAGCTGGTTAGTTGCAGGGCAAGGTTTATTATCTATATAATAGGCCCACATAAAGCAAAAACCTATAACGTCCTAAAACTCATCAGATAAAAGGATTATAGACAGAAGCACTATCTCTCATGAAGCTCAAGAGCACTGACACCTTACTTTCTATGATGAAAATTGTGCTTGGGCGAGGAACAGAGCCCTGCACTATCCAGCCTAGTGATGGACTAGTGGAGAGACCAGGCTATCCAATGTGGTCATGAAACAACTCCTGTAGAATACATTTTTAAAAAGAAGATGCTTGCAGGATTTGATCAATTTATAATTCCTCTGACAACATCAGCTGAAGACACAGTTGTATTAAATATCATTGCTGTGAAACTGAATGCTGTCATACTTCTCCCAGAATTGTCATAATGCTGATGTAAAAACAGCACCATAGTTAAAAATTTTCAGCACCAACTATTTTAAGGAATTCCGTTTCACTGCGGTTTACAGATGAGTTTTAAAATTGTGCATAGTATAAAACATGCCTGGAAATACTTCCTTTTCTCAGGCCATTCACTCTAAGAAACAAAGGAAGAGTTAAGATGCAGGAAAATTCCCAAATGCAGTGAAATTGAGCTGTCTATGCCTGGACTTCTGAGTTACGTACTATTAGCTCCATTTTCCCAAGTGAGCATACAAAGTTGAAAAGCACTCTATTGCTAGATGAAATACACTCAGCTTTGACTACAGCAGGTGAAAAATGAGGAGACAGTGGGAAAAGGGAAATAAAATATCCCCTGATAACTAATTGAGCATCACCCTTATCCAGTTCTCCGTCTTCACTCTTCACATCTGTCCTGCTCAAACTAATTGCTAAGGCAAAGCAGACTTTCAAGTATTGATGAAATAAATCTGTTGCCACAACTCCCCAATGTCTTTCATGCATTCTGTTCCACTAAGATCACCACAATGAACCATAAAACCACGCTATTCAGAGAGCATTGCCATAGCTCACTTTATTTAGGAACATATTGTGAAAATAGTTAGTCAGGATCCTCTGTCTGCATTTCATCCAGCTGCCTGCTGCGTCATTGAGCCAAAAGACTGCGAGTGTATTCCTCAAGTGAGTCTTTCCATTATTCTCTAAGTGTCAGTCTTTCCATGGATTCTCAGTGCTTTTCTATTCTCAATTCAAAGTCTTAATTCTTCAAGTGATCCATGGCTTAGGGTTTTAGCTACTCAGTGATAGTGATTTCAGCAAAGCTTTTAGTTTTGCAATCAATGATACAATATGAGCTTTAGTCTGAAATTTTGGATTAAGCACAATAATAAAAAGCAACAACAAAGTGGTCTTCTCCCTTAAAAAGATATGAAACCTTATGGTACTTCCTAAAGAAATGAAGCTAACTCATATAGTAGAAGAAACCATTTTGGC